TTGCAAGAGAACTTATGCATGCACGAATGGAATTGTATCAAATACAAACAGCGATATTTACATTTCTGTGTGACATAATTTAGTAGGTTTCTGAATTTGTACAACTATTTTGCAATATTCAGTTTAGGACTGAGGGCCCTAAATTAGTTTTTTTTTTCAGTTATGAGCTATTTCAATATAATTTCCATATGCGGGCCAATACCATTCATATTATTGCATTCAAGCTTTGGTGAGATGTTGTGTGCACGCTCTCAAAAGGTTTTTTGAATAAGAACAACCATGTTACAATATTCCGTTTGGGGCCAGGGGCCCTAAATTCGTTTTTGTTTCTTATATGAGCTATGAAAATAATATTTCAAACAGAGCTATTGCATGGGTGGATGGAATTGAATCAAATACAAACTGCGACATTTCAGTTTGTATGTGACATAATTATAGGTTTCTGAATCAGTACATCCATTTACAATATTCCGTTTTGGGGCCAGGGGCAAAAAATGTGTTTATATGTACTAAATGAACTATATAAATATTATTTCAAACATAGCTATTGCATGGTTGGATCAATCGATACTACTGTGTGGACTACACTTAGAACATCCACGCTTCTCACATTGAAAGCTGTGTTTGCCCTGCTCACGTTTCGAAAAAAACCTTATAATTTGAGTACGCACAAGACGGTAAAAAAAATAGTGTGTGTATAAAAAGTATTTCAAAAAACATAAATAAAACACAAACACTTATTTCTTTGCGTGGCATTGCAACGCACGCAGGGTACTCGATAGTACAAGCTATAAAAATGTGTAAAATTCTTCTTTTCAATCCAGGGCTAGGTGCACAAAAATGAACGCCTTTTCTGTGCACTGTGCGTAAGACAGCTTTGCTCATGACATGAGAACATTGTGTTTAGAGTAAATTTAACATGTTTCCTGCGCACTGTGCGTAAGACAGCTTTGCTCATGACATGAGAACATTGTGTTTAGAGTAAATTTAACATGTTTCCTGCGCACTGTGCGTAAGACAGCTTTGCTCATGACATGAGAACATTGTGTTTAGAGTAAATTTAACATGTTTCCTGCGCACTGTGCGTAAGACAGCTTTGCTCATGACATGAGAACATTGTGTTTAGAGTAAATTTAACATGTTTCCTGCGCACTGTGCGTAAGACAGCTTTGCTCATGACATGAGAACATTGTGTTTAGAGAGAATTTAACATGTTTCCTGCGCACTGTGCGTAAGATAGCTTTGCTTATTGCAAGAGAACATTGTGTTTAGAGTAAATTTAACATGTTTCCTGCGCACTGTGCGTAAGATAGCTTTGCTCATGACAAGAGAACATTGTGTTTACAGTAAATTTAACATGTTTCCTGCGTACTGTGCGTAAGACAGCTTTGCTCATGACATGAGAACATTGTGTTTAGAGTAAATTTAACATGTTTCCTGCGTACTGTGCGTAAGATAGCTTTGCTCATGACATGAAAACATTGTGGGGAGTGTTTATTTACTTGACGTCTGAACGTTGCGAAACGTATCATTGTTGAATAATCATTCCTAGACCAAGGTGGGCAACTCATCATTCCTAGACCAAGGTGGGCAACTCATCATTCCTAGACCAAGGTGGGCAACTCATCATTCCTAGACCAAGGTGGGCAACTCATCATTCCTAGACCAAGGTGGGCAA